TGGATGACCTGGTTAAGGAGGGTTTTAACCATGTTAAATGGGACGGCGTGTAAGTCCTTCCCAGCTGCCATTCAGGCTCTTCAAAACCCACTGATGAGTCGCGACTCTGCTACTTGAAACAGAACTCCGATGCCTATTGTTGAAGCAAGCAATCGGATTATCTCGTGCCTTGTTGGCCGTCCGAACTGCAAGAGCTACCTTCAAGACACGGAAATAGCGCATCAGGGGATGATGTCCGAAGGTGAACAGGCAGAGCTCACACCCAAGGGCCACAATACGGTTTGTGGGAAGAGAGGTGGATTCCCTGCCTTCACCACAGGTGTAACGATGGGAATGGGTAGTAAAACACCTGTTCTTCTAGCTCCTGAGAAGCAGCAGAAAGGGATGGGGGGAATTCTCCAGCGACTGATGAACATGACCGCCTTCAAAAGAATCTCGGAGTATCAGAACGGTGCGTACGCCTGAGTCTCCATGACACTTGTGCATAGCTGAACCTTCCATCTAGCTGCATTCAAACTATGGGGACTACGGCTTTACAAGAAATACAAGACCACAATGGACTTCGTCTATGAACACCCGAAACTATCGCACCCCGCTCGAAACTTCTCCGACAATAATGTGTTTGCGGCGGCAGCCTTCAACTTTGGTGGGAAAGTGCGAACGTTCAAACACCGGGATCATCTGAATTGGGCCTTTGGATGGTGTGCTATCACGGCACTAGGGAAATTCAACCCCAACAGGAGCGCTCGCCTTGTTCTGTGGGAGCTCAAGCTCGTCATAGACTTCCCTTCCGGGTCGACTGTCCTCATTCCATCTGCCGTCATCACTCATTCAAACACCCGCATCGCTGAAGGTGAGTCCTACTTGGTTTCCGCTCATCTGACGCACATCCTTACTAACGAAGTTTTCAAAGGTGACGAGCGTACTTCCTTTACACAGTATACTGCGGGTGCTATCTTTCGTTGGGCCGAGAATGGAGGAATGACAGAGGGGGAACTCAAGGAATTTGACCTGAATGCGTGGTTGGAGATGAAAGATCGCAAAAAGGGCGTGGCTTCAGAGTGCATTCAACTCTACTCCACGTTGGAGGAACTACTTGTACATGCATACAGTAATTAACTTTTTATCTTCTCTTATACTCAAAGCTATTGATTACACGTTCTAACAAAATATGCGGGAGAGTGAAAACTTGAGACGTAGCACAGAGCAAGCAGGACAGACAAATGTAGCAAATAATAGAGAACGTTGAGAGCGAGCGCTGGTAAATATCTGAAGGTGAACAGAGAATAAGACCCTGGAGCTACCTATCTACTCAAGCTCACAGATGTGTGGCTCGAACTCTGGCATCCCGCAAACGTTACACTTTGGGGGCTTTGTGTCTTCCCTGAGCTTGCGACGTTTGCGAGGTCCATCGTCTTCAATCTCGAATGGGCTATCCCTTGCTCCTTGCCCTGATGAAAAAATACGACCAGGTCAATCAATGAAAACGAATGCCAATGTACAGGGATGTGTTACCTTCTAAAGGGAGCTGCGACGGTCCTGCACCGGGCGTTTGATTGAGATGAGCTGTATTGGAGACAGTGGAATGCTTGGAGGCAAAGGGGTCAGAGCCAATGTGCTCAGACGCTGAGCTTTGAGCATAGTTTGCATTGTCAGTGGCATTTGTCTCTAGAAGGTGACGCATTAGTATGTAACGCGGCGAACTAAAGGTGATGCTCACGTTCCAGCATCTCCAAAATATCCTGCTGCGAGCCAATCGACAGTATAGCACCGTTGTCGGAAACATATGTGTGCGTTGAGTGTCTCCTCCCTTCGTCCCGGATCTTGGCTTTATCATCAAAGTTCCATCGCTTACTGACATTCAACCGCCCTGTGGTGGCTGATTTCCGCTTTCGGGATGGTGTTGGCGAGGGTGTAGGAGGGAAAGACGTCGGCGGTGGTGGGGGTTCCGATCCCTCTCCAAGTGCCATCTGCACTTGAAGGGGTGCCGGGGCAGGGGTGCCCGTGAGCGCGTGTTGTTTCTTGCTGGGGGTCTTGAAAATTGTGGGCACGGCAGTGAGAGATGCCAACGAGCTAGGGGTAGACAAGACTGAGGATAGCAGTGACATGGGGAACGGCTTTGGTAGTAGTGAATGAGCAGTAGAGGCAGAACTCAAGGGTGTCGAAGGGGTGGGAGGTCCAGATGGTGAAGGTGGTGGCCCTGGATTGTGGGATGGGAATGAGGAAAGCAATACTGCTTGTTCTACACGATGGACATACATCAGCAGTAGTCTAAGGGAATGAAAAGAATCTTATAGAACGTACTTGTTTCATAGCAATACACCATCAAGTCGTTGTCTTCCCAATGCTCATAGATATTGTCCAGAGAGTCTACCATAATGACCTTCAGCTTCCTGAAAGAGGCCAGAGATAAAAGATACTCACATGAAAAACTACAATCGCGGCGCTGGCAACGGACAAATGATTTCCCGTCGTATTGGCTTCCTGCAGAACGCACAGTGTAGGTGGCCACCCGGCGTTTACACTCGCACAAGATGTCAACTCGTCCTTGATGTATGTCACGAACTACGTCCTCGGGACGTTTGGGTACGCCGACGCTGTTGCATGGGCTGTTGGTATGTAGGTATCAGTAGAATCCAACGTTGCAGTTGGAGACAACGTACTATCCAACCGCGTGGTAAGAACCATGGTCTACGGTGACTAGTGAGGTGGGGTTCCTCAACATTTTGATGTCGTGGGCGGGCATGGTGGGTACGAGAGCAAACTGCGAGCTGGAAGAGATGCTGGTGGCAGAGAACAAGAGGCGCACAAGGCGCTCCGAATGAACCCATGAGCAGTTATACCTGGAAGCAAGCGAAAAAAACGGAGAGAATGGAAAGAGAGTGAACCTGGATTCTGTCCGAGAAACGTCAGTCAACTGACAGCAAGACACGACGTGAGGGAAACGCGCCTTCTGTGAGATGTTGAACGCGTCGCGTCGCGACGTGAGATGCCTGCCTGGAAAAAGCAGTAGAAATTCACAATTAATTATCGGAGAATGCAAAATAATCAGAAAACAAAACAAAGATAGACGACGTACAGGAGACGGAGGCTCCGGCGACGAGACCTGTTCGGAAACGTCCGATGGAGGATTCACATGTTTCCTCGCTCGCGTGGGCTTATAAATCCTTTGTGCGGACTTGTTTTCCGTCAACTGGTGGAGGCTCGGGACCGAGATCCGACTTGATTCAATCCATTTGGCATGTCGGGCATACGTCACGTTGACCGGAGGTGACACCCGGAGACCGAGGTTGGCCGCTGTTGGCAACTGTCAAGAACCGATCTTGCCCTCTTACCCTCTTACTGTGACTCTCACCGCGCCAGTTGCCAGTTTTGAATAACGCCTGACTCGGAATCGTTACTCGAGCTGGATAACAGAAGATGCTTCTTCCAGACCAACCACTCAGAAACCTTTTCCCAAGCCTTCGATCCATGGAGATCGGAAGCCCGCAGACTATTCTGGGTCACGCGGATTGTACCATCAACTTCAAGTTGGAATGGTTGACAATGACGGGCTGTTAGGACTTTGCATCGCCAAGGAGTATGCGCTGTGAATATACTATAACTTTGGCTTTCTGCTTTAAAACTGGCTACTAATTCTTTGCGAACCTCATGCCAAGCTTTCCCTTCCGTTGGCTTGCCTCACCCTACGATTCTCCTTTCCATTTCAAGTACGTTTTGGGTACGCCTACTATTGAATATCTTTCAGCAGGGAAAGATTCCCTAGCTGTCTGACAGTTATTGCTGGAGAATTACAAAAAGTGAGGAATGGATGGGAAAGTTTTGAGGAGGATGCGCCGGTAGGTCGTGTTATCTGTACCACCCGTTCTTCCCTATTTTTCCCATTCTTATTCACTGTCAACGCTTCATCTTTGTCCAATGCGACAACCAACATCTCAGTCACATGTTCAGATCTCTGAGCTCTCAAACTCGCGTGAACACGAGCCTTCTCTTTACCCGTTGAATCCTGCAAGCACACCCTACTTGTGGTGGGAGGCGTTAGTTAATCTCCATATCCTTCTTTCGCGGTTGTATTTCTGACGGTCTGCCCCTCGCTCTCCAGTTCCGCCGTCCGCCAGACCAATAGAACGATGTCGTGTGAGGAGGTCATTTGGCTTTATCATGGTACGATTAAAAGGGATTGGTGAATCTCGTGATGGACGTTTCTGTCTATGCACTTTATGGCCATTGTTCACAATCCTGCTTCTCGCTACTCCAAATCTCGTCTCCGGGGATTCAGGGTCTTTGACGCCGGAAAGCTCTTCCGCGGGGACTCTATCCTCGAAATTTCTTGTCACGTCCTTGCTTTGAAACCGGATCCGATGCAACCCTCTTCTGTGTCCGAGCCATTATTAAATGGCGGCCCACATCTTTTTCTTTTCTTCGTTGCATGAATCTGTTCTACGTTCTGAGAGCGTACGGTACGTAATACGTAGGTTCTGATGCGTAGTTTTACTCATTACGCGTGCATTTCAATCCTTGATACAGCTGCTGTCTTTTATACAGGCGGTGCTCCGTACGTTTTGGTGGATTCTTCTCTCCTTCTTCGCCTCTTTCGCTGACCTTGCCTCGTTCTCTGCCTAGTGGCGTGAGGAGGGTTTTACCAAGTTCTCAGAAATTACGTACATTGGGCTTTCTCACGCGTCATGGCTGTACGGTGTACCCACGGACGCTCGCTTGACTTCGTACCAATGACCATTGACTCCGATCCTCGCCACTGTGCATTGTGCAATCGGAAAGGAAGGAGGGGAAGACATACACATTTTCATTCCCTACTTCCGGTATCAGGCTCGTTATTATACTTTTATTATAAGCCAGCTACGTTTCGAGTGTGCAGGAAAGCTGGATCTCGCATATGATTCGCTTGGCTGATGATCGATCGAACTGCATGATCAGGTCTTCGCCAAGCTGACATTTACGCTATTGTATGTGACGGAGGTAACGGGAATAAAAAGCCAAAAGGGCCCAACTGGGAATTGAACCCAGGACCTCTCGCAATGAATGTTGCCCAAAGCGAGAATCATACTACTAGACCATTAGGCCGATGGAACGGAGAATGGTAATGTGGGTCTGCTTCCTCTAAGCTTCTTTTTCTTTTTCTACCATTTCGGTCGGAATTCGGACAGGCACAATTGCATTTATTATTTTTATCGCTTCTCAAATTCTCCACCCCTCGCATGACCTTCTCAGCAGACACGAACGCAGCGTAGCGGCCCGCTCGCATGGCGACTTAAAAAGGCCAGTCTCGCATCACGAACTGGGGACGAAAAACAATGCGTATCACAATTGTTTATCTCTTTTACTCATTGCTATTCCTTCTATTGCTCAGCACTGGTAGCAAAGCTAAAGCTCCATCCGGCCCCTGGGACGACTTCAACTATGCGCCAAGTTCCAGGGTTGTTAGACCTGTTTCCGTTAGGCGGACTGAAGGAAACGTCAGTGGGACACAGAATCTTCTCACCGAGCCACAGAATGGGACGGCAGAAATCGCATCGGGTGCTTGGGTTACCCTTGACTTCGGTATTGAGGTATGTAATTCATTCCAACATTCTTCGTATAGTACTGAATATCAACTTGCTACTTGATCAAGGTCGGAGGACTCATATCAATGACAATTCACCCGTCCTCACAAACACCACAATTTGCACTCTCATTCACCGAATCGCCCCAGTTCATCTCACCAACTTCATCCGACGATTCGGCTACTGCCGATGCCAGCCAAACGTACGATGGGGTTCTCTCCGTTAACCTTAACTCTACCCAGTCAGCGTTTCTCTGGACGCAACCGAAAGCAACGCTCAGAGGAGGATTCCGGTTCTTGACAATTGCGTCAAAGTCGACGTTGGAACTATCGAATGTGACCTGTACAATCTCCTTCGCTCCACATGTCACCGATATGAGGAGTTACTCTGGGTACTTTTGGGCGAAAGATCAAAGTGGGTTCCAGGATGAGGACTTTCTGACTAAATGTACGCTTCCCTTCGTTCCGCCCTGAAGCTCAATGATCTAAGTCTCGGATTATTCGTAGTGTGGTATGCCGGAGCGTACACGGTTCAGACGAACGTGGTGCCGCTGGATACGGGGAGACAAATTCCGACTGCTCCTAGAGGGAGTGGGTACTCTTGTCCACTTATTTCCATTGGTGCTGACGTTCGCCTTTTCTACCTTCCTTTTGGTAGCATGGTTCAATAATGCAAGCCTGGGCGTAGCCGGACCGATTATCGTCGATGGTACGTTTTTTCATACCACTCACGACGATTTTGACCTTTGAAAAAAATGACAGGTGCAAAACGTGATCGGTGAGCCATTATTCGCGCCCTTTTTCTCCACTTTACTCACCCTTAATCCTCAGAGCAGTCTGGCCAGGTGACATGGGCATTGCCGTCCCGACATCTTTTGTCTCCACAAACGACCTCGTCCCCGTCCGGAACGCTCTCCTCACAATGTTCCATGATATAGCTTCCGATGGGTCCTTACCCGAATCAGGACCTCCTTTGAGTCAAAAAGGGTCAGACACATATCATGGGTGGACGTTGATTGGGTGTCGTGAGTCTGCCATAGTTTGTTAAGCTTCGGCTGTGTTGATCTGTTTCTCTTATAGACAACTACTACCTGTACACTGGCGATATATCGACTATCCAGTCCATCTGGGAGGATTACACACGGGCCGTGGCTTTTCTAGAACGTAAAGTCATATATCCGAGACCTGGCGAAGAAGGAAAGATGGGAACAGGCTTGATGAACGTGACCGGGTTGAGGGATTGGGCGCGCCTGGGAGGGGGCGGTATCAATGCCGAGGGAAACGCCATTCTTTATCAGGTGGGTGGTTTCGTTGACTTTCGGATATTGCTCTGCCCTTGATGGCTGACAGTCGCAATAATGGCGTTACCCAACGCTATAGGTTTTGATAAGGGCTGCAGAGCTGGCGGCAGCTGTAGGCGACACCAGTCTATCACAAGCGTACGCAAAGAATGCTACAAATCTAAAAGTAGCTTTCAACCGGGAGTTCTGGATGGATAGCGTCGGTCTGTGTCTCTTCCATCTGTTTTCGTCTACTATCTATCTATTCACGGCTCCGATTCCGACTCTAATAGGCTTATACCGAGACAACTCTACCACGACGATGGCACCTCAAGACGCGAACTCCCTCGCTGTGTTGTACAATCTCACTCGCGAAGAATCTTGGAAATCGCGCGTAAGCCAAGGGTTAATGAAAAACTGGAGGAATCTGGGCCCCGAACCGCCCGAGTTGCCTGATACCATCAGTCCATTCATCAGTGGCTTCGAGGTGGGGATGTTCAAGCGTTTGTCCGGGTTCAATGACGTACTAACAAACTAAATCACAGCTTCAAGCCCACTTTGAAGCGGACCAACCCCAACGAGCGCTAGATCTCCTCCATAGGACTTGGGGCTACATGTTATACACGAATCTAAGCGTTGAGAGTACGCTGCTCGAAGGGTTTACAGTCAATGGGTCGTTATCGTGAGTGCTGATATATTCTTATTTATTGCTCATCCATACGACTGACTCTCATATAGCTATCGCTCTTACCGTGGCTATAATTACGACCCGGCCTACACCTCTCATGCTCACGGTTGGTCTTCAGCCCCTACCTCAGCACTAACTACGTATGTTCTTGGACTCGGTGTGACGACGCCCGCGGGAAAGACGTGGGTTGTAAAGCCGGTTTATGTAGAAGGGGTGAGCGACGGAGGGGATGGCGTAAAAGGAGGTTTCGAGACGCCTTTGGGACAGTTCGGCGTCGAGCTTTCCTGGGCTTCAGCTGGGGAGCTGGAGGCGAACATTGAGTCACCAGAGGGGACCAGTGGGGAATTCATTGTGCCAAGTGTCTTCATGAGCTCTGGTAACATCGAAGTGCAAGTTGATGGAAAGGTTCAGGTAGCAAATGCAAAACGGTCTGTAGCTTTGAATGGCGGCGTGCACAGTATTAGTGTTCGTGCCCTTAGTTAGTATAAGTATTTTCAGGTCCTGAGATTCGAGGCCGCAAATAACAGCATCTTTTCATTATTGTATACGCTTGGTCTTCACCCGCATTTGTAAGAAGTCAGATCTATTTCGCGGCCAGTGCCGTCGAAGCTCGACAGATTGATATTGACCCCTTGCTGGTGTTGATAAATTGCAACGAAGGCTGACAGAAAGTGGTCATTGATGAATGGCCCCGTCGGATCGTGGATAAGGTACTACCGCACGGGACGCTATAACAGAATGGAACGTCAATTACGCCAATAGCAATTATGCCACCGATAGCATCAGGCGATGCAAAGTATCAGCCTGGATCCACACCTTCTGTTAGATCATACAGCACATCTGAAGCACATGATTGGTCGATTAATTCCCAAAAATACCTGTAGAGTTCATTTATTATCACCATGCTCACGGGTACCGAAGCCGTCGGATTATCCACAAATTGCGGGAGAGTTCGGGGATAACTGGCGCACGATATGACCGCTTTCAGAGTCTGTTCGAGTACAAGCCGCACGTTACTAGACAAGCGCTCTCTTTTCTCGAGATATCAGTGTCCACGAGCATAAGACTAGTTATCCAAACCCGTCTAGCATGCCCTGTGAACTCTTCGACCGTGCCTCTTGAGATCAGATCGTGAATTGAACCTTCTACCACATCTCTCACACCTGAAAGGCCTGTGACCTCCATGAGACCTCAAATGATCTGGAAAGTCTGAATGACCTGAAGAGGATGAGCTTTCGAGACCGAAACTCACATTGAAAGTTGTGCCTTTGTGTGAACCCTCTGGACGTACATCCAGGAACTTCGCAGAAGTAAACCGGCCTGGTCCTACGATTCCCCGTCGCCCGACTTGTGGTGGCTGCAGAGCCTACCTGTCTGAGGGATTCAAAGTCTCCAAGGTTCGCGTCGCAGGAGGGGTAGGGGATGTTAGCCCTTCGGTTGGTATGCATAGATCCTTGAAACCGGCCGAATGGTAGTGCCGTATGATGTACGTCGCCCATTGCAGTTACAACTGCATTGGTCCGCGAGGAGGAGACATCCTGTTGAACAGCATCGGGATGATTGAATCCATCATGTCTAATAAGCGGTCGGCCACCATCAAACGACTGTAACAGGGCGTCCCTCCCATAATCTAGACGAGGGGTGTTTTCACTCGCCGGGTGAGAGTGTTGGGGGGATTGGTGCATCGAGGACTGATTCTCAAAAGGTGGCGAGCTCAACGTCTCATTGCCAATTCCAAAAAAGCAGAATTGCTCCATGTCATAGTTCGGAATAGTCGATAGAGTTTCAAGACAGTCCAACGGGAAATGAGGATTGACTAGGGGTTTGTATCTCATCCACAGTGAACGCAGACACTAGCAGACGGACATACCTTGATAACCGTCCATGGAGCCAGAGGATCCAAACTCTTCCTCAGTTAGAAGATCATTCCTTAAACCCGATAAGTCCCCGGGACGTCAAAGAACAAGAGAGAGCAAACCTTGGTGTCCTGGGATCCATGTTAAGCTACTCTCGAGCTCGTACAATGTTACACCATATATATCTTTGTCCCGATAGGGAAAGATTGGTTGAGAAAGGTCAACTCTTTGTGAAGGGATAGGCACCATGTGCATTGACATTGATGGGCGGCCGAAGGTTTATATCGTTGAGTGGAGAAGTAGCTTCATAAACCCACGCTATGTAGGTCCCCCCGTTTATCTACGAGGCCCCTATTGTGGTATCGAGATTTGGAAACAAGGGAGTGATGCTCAGATGATGGTTGAGCCCCCCGTTCATTGTCTGTGACTCGAGTCTCGAGGTACGTACATCATGGCCCCTTGGGTTTTGAGTAGCAATTATGAGCCTCTTATTAGACCAGTACGCTCCTTAACCTCTCGCTTTGACGAGTAGTCCTGACCAGACTTCCCACTATCCCGCGCCACGCAGTGTCACGCATATGTCTGATGTCTGTTCGTTGATTCGTGCTGTAGTACTGTACATGGGAAAACTAAAATCCCGGCTTGACCACCAAAATCAATGGCTCACGCTTCATCAGTAGACAATCTGCCTTCTTAGA